GGGCGGGTATGGGGACGGGGGCGGGGTGGGTATTAACATCCCCGCCCCCGCCCCCTTCCCCGATTTTATCAATCGGGGAAAACCCGAACCCGAACCCGAACCCGATAAACACGAGTTTTCCCCATCCAAATCGGGACGGGTTCGGGCGGATACCCACGAGACCGGGTTAGATTGCCATGCCTACTGTCACCCTTAGTGATATTTTCTGCAATTCGGTGACGTTTTATGTACCTATGTGTCCCAATTAATTTATTTTGATAAATTATTTTTTAAAAAGATTATTTTACAAAATAATTTTTTAAAATTTTATTTAGATTAAAAAGCCCTCCGATCAATCCTTAACATTATTATACAACTGCATAAAACTCAAATCATTTTATCTATTTAAAAACACAATATAACATAGGATTAATTTGTCTGAATTAAAAAAATATTATAAAGTTTTTTCTAAAATGTAATTTTTTAAGTAGATAAAAATTGTTTCTTAAAGAAAAACTACTTATTTTCATATTAAATAGTTTAGACAAACACAAAAATATTTAAAAAAAAGCATTTTATTTTATTAAAAAATATCATTATTGGATGACATAAATTTTAACATAACATTTTGAAAAAAGCTTGCACTGAATCTATTTATAGATTTGTTATATGAACTTTAAGTTAACCATAAGGACATTATTCAAGACCCACACAAACTCGTCAAACAAAATTATATTAACCTTCTTTTATACCACAGAAACACCTCTCCTAAAGAGATTTAAACATTTGTTCAATAAATTATTGTCCTAACATTCAAATCCAAATCCTGATTTACATTTAAGATCTTGTTAAATAAATTATTAAGTCGTCTATCCACCGATTACCAATTAGGTTGACCCTGCAAAACTAGGAGCATCGACTGTGCTCCCTTAGTTAAGGCTAAGGAAGTTCATGTTCCTACCCAACCCACTAACCTGATTCAGTCCAAAATACTTTTGAGAAGTTTGAATTTAAAAAATTCAATACATTTTAAAGACAAGTGCAAGTTACCTTTGAATCGTCATATCATGTATATAATAACTATGAATAATATATTTTCTTAACTTTAATAATATTTTGTCTAACATGATATTAAATTTGTATTGATATTATTTATCTTGAAATATATATTATAAAATATACCTTAATTATAATTATATACTTTTTTAAAATTTAAAATTTAACTACATAAGATGTTAAAATTAGTATATTAACAAAATAGGTTCACCTAATCTTGTTAGATCTTGATCGAGACAGATTTGAGATTTGAGTTCATAAAATTGATCTTATCAAACTTATCAGGGTTTTAAACTAAATGTATTGAAATATTAAATTTTACAACAAAAAACCTGAAATCTTTTATCAAGTCAGATATTTGAGAAGGTCAGTTTAGTTGTTAAAGGAAAGCTCAATGAACAAGTCAGTCCTTGAAGTTGAAAGCATATTTCTGGATTCAATTGCTAAACCAAAATTTCAATAACATTTAGAAACAAAACAAAATTACAGAGGAAATAAATAAAACCAATAACATTCAGAAGAGAATATGAAACATAGGATGGGAACAAAGCAACTAAGAAACAAATACTGGCAGCAACCCACTAAAAGGCAATAATAATAAGATGATGCTCTTGACTCTCTTGTGAAGCTAAACGTACTACTACTGCGTCTTGAAACATTATTTGTGGCCACTCTCCATTCTTTTGGTTTACACTTTCCTAACCTGGATATTGTGTGTGGATTGGAACCTCCATATGGGTTGCCTACCACTTTGTACAAGTGCTACTTCTTCTCCTTCCTTCACCATTCCTTGCTTCTGCACACGTCACGCAAACCATGCAATGTGATCATAAATAAATAAAAAAAATCACACAGATCCATGTTCTAGTATGATCAAAAAGAACAAACATAAATACAGAAATAACTAGTATTTGATTTCATTTAATAGACATGTGTAAAAAATCGAATGATATCAAAATTAAATTCAAATGAAGTTTTATTATAACCATAATTTTGATATGAAACATTTACTGTTTCACCGGTAACTAATTCCCCATTGGAGATTTTGATTGGTTACCTTCAATGAAGTCTCCCTTTCCAACCAACTTTTTTCCTCTACATGAATTGAGTATGAGATCTTGCTTAAAAGAACCAAGTGTACTACCACACAGACCAACTATTTGGTAATAAATTCAAATGAAGTTTGACAACCCGTTTAAAAGGATTTTTATTTTTTTTTACTTTGATACACAAATTCCTAGGAATTGGAGAGCTAATTGTCCCTACCCATTAGTGGCATTGCACAAAATATGAAAGGTTAGTTAATAGAAACAGTAGACATTTTCATAGGTATGTAAAGCAGTGGCATCAGGCATGCACTAGAAGCAAGAAGATCACACAAAGGTCCATTGATAAGGTACTGCATGCATGAATAGACTAAAACAAATAATGCTTGAATGTAAAAGCTACCCTGATGGAATCAGGAGTGTGAAGCCATATAGGGATTTTGTAATCAGTTCAAACTAGGCATGGAAACGGGGCGGGGCGGGGCGGGGGCGGGTTTTACGTTCCCCGCCCCCGCAAATATAAACC